AGCAAGAATGCATTCATGTGTTCCTGTTATAATTTTTTTAAGTTATTTGTCTTTAAAAAAAAAAAAACAGTGGGGGTGCATATGGAAAACAGTTTGTCCTTACAGATGTTTCTACAACTGTGTTTCTGGCTTTTGAACACATTTTTCCCTCTTTTAAAAGTTGATCCAAATATCTGTTCAACTCAACCTCCTCAACTTTCCAGAATTATTTTCAGTTCGTAGAAAAGGCTTTAACCTTCAACTTCTCTAGCTTCGGTCCCAGTATATGTTTATGACTATTTTTAAATAGCCAAATTTTCGGTTCCTGTTGAAAGACATTTAGGAGATCATTTAGAAGAGGAAAAACAAACTGTGGACCTTGAATACAGAGTTGAGAAAACCTGGCTCTGCATTCTCAGGGAGTGCAGTTCTCTGGTCAATTATGAATTGGAAATTTCTACAGCTCAATTCATAGGAATGAGTGCAGATCGGTGGTTTACGTGCAAGGACAGGAGGCCGCAGATGAAATCTGCAGGCTATCAACACTGAATTGGAGAACAGGCTTCCTATTCCAGTTCCTCCGGTGGGATGTCTTAGGGTCACTTAGATATATTTACTGTAGATGGACAAAGGATGCATCGGTACTCGGAATAAATATCATTATGTGGGCTTCCATAGGAAAGTGCACGTGACAAAGCTGATGGTCACAAGGATTCTCCATCAGGGTCACGAGTGCCAAGCCCCCTCCACCCTTCTGGCTCCCTTATATTTTTTCCAGGCCTGCACACCATCCACGCCATCAGGCGGGGCTCCCAAATGCGGAGTGCTCTTGGAAGGCCCGGCAGCCCTCGTGCCCCCCGATGTTTCTACTTCCCCATCCTGCACACTTCTCCATCTTCTGTGAAGAAAGGGAGCCAGGAAGTAATGTGAGAACTAAACACGAGACTTGGTTACAACACAAGCAAGAGCGTGCTGAGGCCTGGTTGCCTGTTCCTTTGGCAATACAGCTGCTCTGGAAAAGTCTTGAAGCCCTATTTCAGCGGAAACTAAAATTAAAATCAATCAGAAGCAGCCTGAAGAGAAAAGGGATAAAATTATGCATTTATGTATAGGGGTATGGATACAGACATAAATGTCGGTAGTTTGTTATATATTTTAGGCATCTATCTTAAGCGCACATATAAATAATCCCTATACAGATGACCAAGCACTAACAGAAGGCCTTTATTCGGGGCTTCCGTGATTATGGTAACCAGATATTCAACCAAAAAGCAATAGGGTGGTGTAAAGACACAAAAATGAGCACGGAAAAACAAACTGGGGTAAATTCTACCTCCTGACATCTTCATTGACAAAAGGCCAGTAGTCCATTGAACATTGGCAACAAGAAGCTTAGACTATATTAGGCAATAATGAAAAATAAATTCTAGGTTAGCACCAAGATAGGACCCACCATCAGGCACTTCTGCCAGCTTCAAAGCTGGACTAAGACACATATTCCAAGGCCATATATTCAAAGGCAGAGAAGCAGAAATCCATGATGCTCCTGTATAAAATGGAAAGCCAAAGTGAACCCTCCAAACTGAAACAGCCATAATTGTATGAAAATTGTATGAAAACCTATAAATCCTAAGCAAAAACCTAGCAAAATGACCTCCTGTCTAGGGCCATTACTTATCTGGAATAATCAAAGAAAGCAGGGGTGAAGGGGGTGGAGAGAGGCTCTGACTCCTTAAAAACTTAGAAAAGCTCTCAGAGTCTCTCTTTCACCATTCACATATGAGCTGTCCTCCAAATATCAACTGTTTTCCAATTACCAAACTAAAGTGACTGAAATTGGAAACTCTCTGTGATCATTCATTCAGTCAATTAATACTTATTGAGTGCCAATTTGGATGATGAACAAGACCACTGCAAACCCTGTCTTCACAGAGCTCCCAGCCAAAGCTCCATGTGTGAGACGGTCCCTTCAGCCTTTGGTTGCAGGGAATTGACAGAACAGAAAATAAACCCTAGGAAACTTCCAGTCACATAAACCCACGTCCAGAGAACACACCACCACTCACTGGTGATATTCTAAACTCTAGATTTAACGCTCAGGTTTGGCATTTAGAGATCACCTTCCCACAGAAACAATACCATCAATCATGTCTGGGTCCTTGGGTCAATCCACAGGGCTTGAGTTGCCCTGCATTCAGCTGCAGTGTGATTTAAAGAGGTTTCTGGTGACCCCAGACCCTTCCAATCCACAATCTTAAACTATGGTTATGATCCCGAGACAGCTACTGTGATGACACAGTCGACACTGGACACTGGGATGGGCAAAAAGCTGCAAGTGCATGGTGGGCGGGCGGACCACCACCTGCAATCTCAGTCTGTCTCCCGGACAAGGGACTAGGAATGGAGGTAGAATCTCCCGAAGGTGCTTCTGAGGCAAGAATTACCTTTGGAGCAGTTCATTTGCCCATCACACAGAACAGAGCCATTGGTCCCAGCCAAAGCTACGCGCATTTCGCATGGTTGTTACTGAGAAATCACCACTCACGTGTTTCCTGGCAATTTCAGGAGGTATGATAGTATTTTTACATACTCTTCCCTTTTTAAGGCATACATCTTTTTCAGCAGTGATCCCAGCACTAATAGCATTTAAAGTACATTAACTTCTATTAATGTTTAAATACCACTTTTTATGTCGTTTCATTATTGCCCTCATCTTATCTTCCAGACTCCCCCACAAAAAAAATCATCAACTCAGCCTCTGACTTAGTAAAAACAATAGCCTCAGCTCAAGCCCGATGTGTTTAAACCATGGCATGGATAGATGTACAGTAAAAATAGAAAAAGAAGTTATTCTAAACAAGACCATGAATCTCCGAGATGATTTTTTCAAAAACAACTTTATTCATGTTTGGAAATAAGGGAGTGAAAGCATAGGATATAGTAGCTACTGCCTGAAGGAAGTCATTTACTGGCTCTGGGACAAGGTTTAGCAAAATCTTCCTTACAATTCATTAAGGATCCCCTTAGGTTATACATGTTCAGGAAATGTAGGTGCTTTAGCGGTAATCATCCCAAATTATCCAAATAAAAATCTGTTTCAGTCTTCGTGTGGGAGTCTCTATAGGAAACACAATCTTCTCTGAAACAAATGTCTACCTTTTATTCTCTCCCTCCCTGCGCCGCACAGACTATGTGAACGTTTACAGACCATTCCAGAGGTTGTTTTCCTAACACAAAACTGGGGTGGGGGCAGCTCCTAAATATCGCTGCTAGGGTTCCCAAAGCTTTTGTGCAGCTCCCGGTAGAACCTAGACAGATTTTCTCTCTGAAGAGCCCATGAGATGAAAGGTCTCAAACTAAACCCTCAAGAAGGGAAAGTAATAATGCTAGTATCTGGCTCTCTCCAGTAAAATCCCTGCTTGGGGACATCCACTCCAAGTGCCTCTAAGGAAACAAAGTACTTGATCAGAATGAGGAAAACAAAATGCCATGGTGGGTGGCTGACATGCAGAGAACAGTAGCCTCGCCCAGACCTAGGCCCAGAAAGGTCTGCAAAGCAATGCCCCTCCCCCATCTTGTCACTCAGTAGGTGCTAGCCCATGTTGATCCCATAGAACGGTGATTCTCCAGGAATGCTTGGGCCACGGTAGTATTGGCATCCCTTGGAAAATGCCAAGTATCAGGCCCACCTCATCAGACCTATTAAATCAGAAACTCTTGGAGTGGCCCAGAAATCTGTGTTTTCACAAGCCTTCCAGGAGTTGCTATTGCAAAGTCAGGTTTGTAAACCAGCATCGTAGTAGGACTAATTAAAATCACTGTCCCTCCCCCAGGCCTTATTTATAATTGGAGAATGAGAGATCTTTCCTCCTCCAAAAGAAATGTCAAGAATTGGCAGGTCAAGAGAAAGTCAGCAGCAGATTTGGGGGCTATTTGGGGGCTATTCAAGGCCTAATTTACCACTACTCCTCCCTGTTCACTTCAGGTTTAGGGATTTTGATCATGGGCACCCACAGAGGGAGAGGAGAAAACGTCAGAAATAGATCCACTCCACCCCAGAGCCCAGTGTACGCTGGATAGCTTATCGCTCCATAAACATCACTTCCAAGTGAGTAGGCAGCGTAAATAGTGGTCGTAATGAACCAGACAGATCAAGAAAACCCACCACATTGTCTTCAACACAACGAAGCCACCACTAAACCTTCTTCGCAGCTTTCCCAAGCTGGTGGCTATTTGTAAGAGACCACACAAAATTCAACAATAGCATCTTAGTCAATACATAACATTTAAACTTCAGAGCAAATGCTTTTCAATCGCTGAAAATCTTGGCTATTTATAGAACAAGAACATTTAAATAAGTTTTCCCCCCTACAATGAATTTTCAGTCCTCTGAGGGAGACCCCTCGTCTATTCTTGGGCAACATGGCCAACAATTTTACAATTTTTAATCGAGCACTGGGAATCTTTCCATTAACGCATGCACGCACGCGCACACACACACACCCTCATTCACAAAGCTTCAATGTACAGCCGGGGTTCTGATTTCGCTTCCCCAACACAGTTCAAATCTCAGAAGATGAGAACCTTACTGTAAAAGCAGTAGCAACAACAAAAGCTACCATGGAAGGGTCCGGAAGTCACCTGCACAGCAGAAAGGACCCTTCTGCACAAAATACTTGTGTCCCTAACTAACCTACTGCCATCACACCTCGCCTGCCTTTCTGAAGCCGAAGGGAAACCCAGGCACGCTTTGCCTGTATCATTATTAGTTACTTCAGACTCAGGAAACCAGTTCAGTGTCTTCTGGGACAACCGTCCTCCTTGGAAAGTGGGCACTGCTGAGTAATCAACGTTATTTTGCTCTGCCTTGATTTGTAGTATCATATCCTTGTTGCTATTTTTTCAGCCTTAAAACCTAGTCATCGTAAATCTAGCCGCTTCTTTCTTTAGTGGTAATTAGCATTAGTCAGAAGCCAAAAATGATTCCACTTAAGAAGTAAAATAAACAGAACCGTTCTTACCTTTCATGCCAAACTTGGAGTGTCTCGCCAACTTCAGCAGAAACAGCATCACCAGCAGACAAAATCCCACCACAGACGCAATTACCACCACAGCATAGACCTAGAGGAGAGAAGGGAGAGTGGTTATGACCTTGCTCCTTAGTTCCCTACATCCAGATGATGATGATAATGAGGATGACAGTTCATATTTACTACTTGTTCTGCTAGAAACTTTGTGTCTGTCAACCCATTTATCACTCAACAACTCTACAGTGAAGTATTGTAGGTCTGATTATTATCCCTACTTAACAAATGAGAACACAAAAGTTAGAAGCTTATAAAAATATCAATGCAATTGATACTGTATAAACACAGAGATATATTACTCTCTCCCCATCTATCTATCCTCCTACCTGCCTACCTGGAGAGAGGAGAGAGAATATACAAAACTTGAATGATAAAATACTGATTATTTCTGAAGCCGGTGAAAGATGCAGTAGGGTTCATTTTGCTATGCTCTCTACCATTGGGCATGTTAGAAAGCTGTCCATAATAAAAAGATTTTTCTTTTAAGTTAGCTAATGCTGATCTTAGAAATCAGAGTCCCATGGAGCTGGGAGTAGGCAGGGAAAGGAGCAGGAGGGGTACCTGTGGGTGAGTTCACTTGTGAAAACTCATTGGGTTGTAGATTTATGATAGGTACACATATGTGTATGTATGATAGAGGTCAACACAAAGTTTTTTTAAACTTAAAATGCAATTATAACATGTGGGTTATACAAGTGGAGAGAGCAGATGCAGACCCGTGTGAATCCTGCCACAACCCTGAGAGAGATCACAGAGGCCTAAGAGTGTAATGCTAATGAAGTACATATTAACATTTCAGAAACAAAGATGGAAGCAGGACAATGCATCTCCTTCCATTCCTGCTGCTCACTCCAAGGTCCCGCTCCCAAGAAAAGTGTGACTCTCGGGGTGCCTGGGTGGCTCAGTTGGTTAAGCGACTGCCTTTGGCTCAGGTCATGATCCTGGAGTCCCGGGATCGAGTCCCACATCAGGCTCCCTGCTCAGCAGAGAGTCTGCTTCTCCTTCTCACCCTCCTCCCTCTCATGCTCTCTGTCTCTCATTCTCTCTCTCAAATAAATAAATAAAATCTTTAAAAAAAAAAAAAAGAAAAGTGTGACTCTAAGCCAGGAGGCAGCAAACTTTTGCTCTAAAGGGTTAGACAGTACATACTTTAGGCTTTGGGGGCCATACAGTCTCTTTCACAAACTCTCAACTCTGCTGGTGTAGAGTGAAAGCAGCCATAGACAATATGTAAGCAAATGGGCATGACTGGGTGCCTATAAAACTTTATTTACAAAAACAGATGGCTATAGTTTGCAGACTCCTATTCTAAACTGTTTTAGATGTCCACACTTTCTTAGATGCTTAAGCTTCTTTTTGTTTCATTTAATCTGCATAATAATCCCTAAGACATACATTATTATTCCCATCTGTGATAATCATTAATGCTGTTTACCAAACATTTCTATTTCTTCCTGTGTTTCTCTTTATAAGATTCACTTCCTGGCTTCCTTGTGGTAAGATGGGTGCATGTGACCAGTTCTGGCCAATGAGGTGAGACTTGTATCCCTGACAATGGAGCATTTCACTGCTACCCTGAGATCTTAGACTGAGGCAGTTATTCACACCCAGGGATGATGTTATACCCAGGGGACAGCTGTCAATTTGGGGTTGTCACAACTGGAGGAGGGTGCTACTAGCATCTAATGGGTCAAGGCCAGGGATGCTGCTAAACATCCTACAACACTTAACAACCCCCACAACAAAAAGTTATTCATCCATAATAACGATGTCAATAGTTCCAAGGCTGAGAACCCTGCTCTCATACTTCTTTCTCTGGGCCTTAATAAATGCTAACTTTCCAAAAGTGGCTGCCTATCAATCTAGTCTTAGAATGAGGACAAGGCTGACCGAACTGCCGGTCAACACAAATAATGAAGCAGGAAGTAAACCTTTGTCATTTTAAGCTGCTAAGATTTGGGGATTTTTGTTACTGCAGCATAGTTTCCGCTGACTGATGTACCCATCTCGGAATGAGAGGCAGTACAGCCTCTCATTACAAGAACGTGAGTTCCTCATGAGTTTGAAGTTTAGATTTACCACTTACTGGGTGCCTGACCTCAGAATTACTCAATCTCTCAGCATCCAACACGCCTCACGTGTGAAACAGGGAATATAATCATTTTACCTTGCAGATTATTTAAATCCTCAGTGAGTTAATGCAGATAATGGGTTTGGAACAGAGTCTTCTACAATAGATAATAAATTAATGTTGGCTATGAGGATGGTAAAACTGAGATTTATAAAAAGTTAAATAAGCGACCCAAGATCACACCTTTCGAGCTTGGGATTTGAACTGAAGTCTAAGTACAAAACCTGTGACTTATCCACGGTTCAGCCTTTATACTACTCCTTCAAAACACATGGCTGAGAAGGAAGACAGGATAATAAAAATGCATGGCTAATCCTCCTGTGACATCCTCTCTGGCATCCACTGGGGACAGGACAGCATTAAAGAAGGCATGAAACCCAGGAAAGGGCACATGCCACACACTTGGCCAGAATGGAGCCAAGCTGTGAGAATCCTCTCCTTCGGCACTGTGGTCATGAGTTGTGAGTGGCTCTCCCAGAGAACACCTCTGCCAATGTTTGAGTGCAGACTTAACTCTGTCTCTGTGGCCTATATACAAACAGAGTGCTTGTGATTCCTAAAAGGTTAATTATAAATCAACTTGTAACCAAGGCCATTTCCCTCAAACGTACCTAATGATTTGGGGTGGGTTCTTTTTGTTTGTTTGTTTCCATCTTCATTTCTAACTAACATCTGCATGGAAAAGAGATCGTAGTATTTTAGCTTTCAGTTTCTCAATCTTATTATTAAATTCCAGACTTGTACTAATAGAAGGAGAAAAATTGAATAAACAAGTTCAATCCCTATCTCATAGATAAGGAAACGGGGATGGAGAGATGTTAAGAGACTTGCCCCTAGCCCCACAACTTCTCTGTAGGACCAGAGACAGCCTCTGACCCACTTCAGAAAGTACTTGACTGGCATTCAGAAGACTTGGTTCTTATGTTCCCAGGACACCTTGCTTTTACGAGCTGTGAGAGTTAACAGATGCTTCACTTCTGCAAGCTTCCATTCCCTCATTTGTACACGGAGATAATAATACCTGCCCTGACTTCTCTATTTCATTATAGAGTGTTTAAGTCAACCTGGAAAATGGAAAGGGGTTCTACTGCTGGGGAGCAGCTAATGATCTGCTAGCAAATATTTAAACCTGTTGAAGCAGCTCTATATGCAAAGAATCCTTTAATAAACAAAGAATCCCAAGACAATGAGAAGAATTGTTCCCAAAAAAATGAATTGTTTGATAAATATAGTTTCATGTACCGTGCATGTGTTGGGTGGGGGTGGTCTTTATGCGGGAGACAAGCAGGGGTGAATGTATTTGTTCATCTGTTTGCTTGGTTGGTTGGTTTGGTTGGCCGGCTGGCTGGCTGGTTAGTTGTTTGGTTGTTCGCTTATTTGGTAGGTTAGTTTGCTGTTTGCTTGTTTGGTTAGTTTGTTGGTTATTTGGTTAGTTGATTGGTTGGATGGTTAGTTGGCTGGTTGGTTGTTTGGTTAATTATGTGGCTGGTTGGTTGATTGGTTGGTTAGTGGTTTTTAATCTGAGGATATCTCTCAGCATGAACAAGGACCTGCTCTACTCAAAAAATCCAGCAAGGTTCATGAGGAGCACATATTGGACCAGAAAGGAAAGCATTTGAGGCTGTCTTCCAAATGCTCTGATAACACCTTTAACTCTTCTATTAGCTGCCTGACTCTGAAACTCTTCTAATCTAACAATCCTCCCTGGGATCAGGAACTGTTCATGAATTAAATATCTGATCCAGACTTAAGTTTTACATTTTCTTTAAATTCTACAAAGCATTACACCTTGCACCCGTCATGCAGATTTCCAGGGACCTCAGGTGGAATTGTAATGTACCAACTTTCAACAAAGAGTATTTCCAGTGATCTTGCCTTCCAGTGGCCCTACTGTAAAGAGTCCAAATATCACTGAGATGTGCCACTTAGGGACTTAAATTTATCATTGGGTCTCAAAAGAGAAAAGTGAAGTTGGCATGTAATTTTTAGTAACTGGGCTATGTATACACCTGTGGGCTTAACACATGCTCCTTGGATTCCTTATATACACAAACTTTCTCAAACCAAAAAATACTAAGTGGTTTGGTATGAGAATAAACCAAAAAGATTGCACAAGGCAGGAAGCAGAAAACATTCTGCAGCTGATTTACCACGGCATTTGTCCCTGCTATTTCAATGCAATGCATCCTGTCATCTATGGAAATATGTGTGTGTGTGTCTCCATGTACTGGATATGCGTATTTTGAGTTGCAGCTGAGCTACATCTGTTATGATCCTCCCATTCCCACAGCCAGGGCCCTAGTTTAAATATAAATCACATCTCCCTAGCTAGTCACACTGCTTCCAATCTCTCTGTCCTGCAACCCATTTTAGAGCACTCACCATTACTCTAATCAGCCTCCAATTTTTATTATCTTCTAGGTGCCAGACACTATTTGAGGGATGAGGGATACAGCTCTGAAAAACACTGACCAGGTTGCCTAGATTTGGAAATTCACTAAAGAATCTAGAGAAGGAGAGGGGTCTGGGTGGCTCAGTTGGTTAAGCGCCCGACTCTTAATTTTGGCTCAGGTCATGATCTTCAGGTCATGAGATCAAGCCCTACATCGGGCTCCGTGCTGAGCATGGAGCCTGCTTGAGATTCTCTCCCTCCCTCTCCCTCTCCCTCTGCCCCTTCCCACCACCCATGTGCACGTGCTCTCTCTCTCTCTCTAAAAAGAATCTAGGGAAGGAAAAAAGACATTACACAAGTAAACAATAAAGAAGCAAGGGAATTACAGACAAGAATAACTGCTCAGAAGAAAATGGAACATGATCATGGCTGCCTGGTGGCTAAAGCCATGTGATGACCATTGGGAAGTGCATGCCTTGTAGAGGGAACAGCAAACATAAAGGCTGTGAGACAAGAGTAAGCCCGAAGCACGTGAGAGAACATGAAGAAGGACAGGTGGCACACGTGAGGGCAGGGTGCGGGGTGAAGGCAGAGACGCAGATGAGGGCAAGATATGCGGGGCCTTTTTGCCACCATGAGGAGCCGGGCTTTTGTAATAAAAGTTCTCTTACACTCGCACTGGGAAGACTCTGAGAATGACAATAAAAATGATCTGATTTGTGCTTTTCAAAGGTCACTCAGGCTGCTATATGGAGAAAGGCCGGGAGATCACAGGGCGGGAGGGGAGGGACAGGTAGAGGCTGCGGAGGTCATCCAGGAACGAGCAACTGTGGTAAACTTCCTCTGTGAAGGGCCAGATAACTAAACACTTCCAGCTCTGCAGGCCAAACAGACTTTGCTGCAGCTACTCCAGCTACCACCGTGGCGCAAAAGTAGCCTCAGACAATATGTCAATAGGCATGACCGCCTTCCGATAAAACTTTTTTACAGATACTGACATTTGAATTTCATAAGAGTTGCACGTGTCATGAAATATCATTCTCCTTTTCATTTTTTTTTTCCAAACCACTTAAAAAGGTAAAAACTCTTCTTAGCCTGCAGATGGCACAAAAACAGGGGGTGAGCCGGACTTGGCCCATGGGCCGTAGTTTGCCAAACCTCGGGTGAGCCTGCGGCCATGGCAGTGGGGGTGGGGGGATGTGGATGGGTTTGGGGTTTATCAGGTGGCAGAGCTCACAGCACAGGGGACTGGGTGCACGTGACAGTGATGAGAAGAATGAGGGACGTGGCTGGCCTTTGAGCTGAGCAGCTGACAGACCAACCCTGCCAGAGTCCTGGGGCTCAAGCCCGCCCCCTTCAGTGGCTCCTCCCTACATGATAAATCTAACGCCTGGCACTGTGTTTCAAAACCCCATGACCTGGCACAACCACTTCTCCGATCGTGCCTCTGATGGCCCCCACACACACACACCTTACCTTCCCATCAAAACCATTTTCCAGTCTGCAGGCTTTTGTGCGCACACCCAAAATGCCCTTCCCTTGGTTTCCTGTCCATCTAAATGCCAGCCATCCCGCACAGCTGGAAAATGCCCCCAGCTCCAGCAAGACCCCTCGGGAGCTCCCAGCAGGAAGGAGTGGAGCACCTGCCCCTCTAGGTCCCGCTCTTACATCCCACTGCTTCTCTGTCTGTATCACAGGTGCTGGTATCCAGTCACCGCTCAGGGCTCTGACCGAAGTATAAACTCCTGAAGGACAGACCTGCTATTCCTTCATGTTTTTCTATCCTCCCACTGCCGGTCCCTCCCAGAACCTACGGGATTCCTTAAATTTAGTGGGCAATGAGACTCTTATTAAAATACAGAACAAGACAGGCATGAAGGTGCCAAAGACGGGAATAATGCCTGAATGAGACACTGCTCTTCTTTTATAAGGACATTTAAAATAAGAACCACTAGCAATTAACGGGGCACATAAAAGGGGAAGCAAGTAAGTCAGAGGCTACACAGCACATTTATCACTTCTCTTGAACCTTTTTGTGAAGTCTTCCAAACGTCAACACCCTATTCACACCTGAACAGTAAAAATGTCATGTTGAAAGATACGCACCGAAGCAGTTCCGCTCCCCCCAACATTTAAGTATCCACAGCGCTCAGAGCCGACCTAGGAAACAACTATTCATCTCACTCACCGAGAGATGTTCCCGACCGCTTTTGTCAGCAACATCTGTGGAAGGGATTTCGTTACTTCTGTTCGTGGTGTCCCCAATATCATTTGCCGCAGTCCCATAATCTTAAATTGGAGAAATGGGAAAGAGAAGGAACCATGAAGTTGTCACCAGGCTACCAACAAACACGAGGCCACAGTATGACCCAGAACCATGAAGCGAGACAAATCACAACGATTCCAAGCCCCTGAAAGCCTGGCTGCAGAGGAACATGACCCAGCTCTTGGGTGAAAGCCATTGTAGTGCTGGGATTACATGATGCTCAAATGTTATGCAACCCAGATCTTTCCATCACTGGCTTGGCAGACAAATTCTAAACTAGGTTTTCCTTGGTAGGTCAGAATATATCCCTTTTTTTAATGAAGTCTTTAATATAAATACGAAAGGGAATCGATCCTTTAAAGAGTCATACATTTATAGACCTAGAAGGGCCTTTGGATATGGAATCTAATCACCAGTTTTATAGCTGAAGAAGGTCATCTGCAAAAAGTCAAATGACTAGTCTAAGGTGAACTGGCAGGAAGGTGGCAGAGCTTAAACATGAACCACACCTCAAATCAGCAACACTCATTCCAGGGCTGAGGCATCTTATTTGGGTAAGAGGCAGCCACTCAGGAGGGGCTATGGAGTCAGCATTGATGTGGACTTGGGTGCCCATATGAACTTTTTTGAAAAGGTCTTAATTGCCAACATTTCAGTTTCTGAATTCATAGAGAGGGAGCTGCACCAACACGGTATTAAGAATTGTGAGAATACGTGCTCCCATCAGCACGTCTCAAATGTCCCTGCCATCTTCTGAATCAATTTTAGTCTATACAGAGCAGGCTGGAAATAAATGATCAGGGTTTTTGGGGGGGGGGGTAGTGAATGTTTTTATTAGTCATATTCATATAAAAAGTCATAGAAAATTTTTGATGAAGTTATTGTAGACAATGTTGTTTATAAATGTTTGGTATTTTTCTTCTCAATAGATATGAGGAATGCAATTTCCAGCCTGAACATCAAGTCATTAACCTCATTAACCTCATTAACCTCATTAAGTGAGCCCCAGCTAAACCTCCCTCTGTAGGACTATCAAGCTGGCTTTGGGGCAACAAATTTAAATTATATTTATATTAGCAGAGTGTTCCTTTGAATGTGAATAAATAGTAACCAAAAAAGCATCTATTTTCCATTTGCTGTTTTATTCTTAACTCCAAAACTACATTGTCACCATTTTCATTTTAAATATACTAGAACATTGATTTCAACCAAACACTAAGAAACATCATCCATTTGCTAATTTTTTTATCTTTTCATATTCTAATAAGCCACTCATGCAAAATTAAGTCACTAAAGTATTGATAGTTTAATCCCCTATTTGGCCCAAAGATCCAAAGTGGGATCTGAGGCCAAAGGGAAGATGGGATTTTTAAAGTCTTGAAGTTACTGGAAAAGAGTCCAAAACATAATTTTAAAATGTAAAATCACAATTCAAACATAGCTCTCTGTGACACAATTTGAGATACTTTTTCTTTAAGCCGTATTGGGACAAATAAAAGCAAAAATTCACAAATCACATGCACAAAATCATCCAAAACACAATTTGAAGGAGATATAGTTTAACATGCATAAAACAGGTAAAGATAATATAATCCCCCAGTTAAAATTAGCTCAAGTTAAATACACACACATATAACATACAAATATAGAATCTTTTTATAAAAAAAAATTAAATGTCCACATGTACATAAAGGTAAAGAATGGAATATTTAATAGAATAAGTTATACATGTCACATTTTACTCAATCTAACTTTTAATCAGTCTTAAATTTTGAGCCAAGTCTTGAAATTGAGGCTGCCACTTCCCCAAACAGAGCCTTCCTGGTCATGAAGGTAATCTGTTAAAGATGGATTTTCACACCTAATCAAACATCCCTGGAATTCCATTAAAATAGCAAAACACAGATGAGATATCCAGTTAAAAGCTAATATAGTCCACCTTCTGGCTTCTCCCTTCCTACATTCCTAAGAGAACCCCATCTCATTCAAGGGGTTCAATGACATTCTCTGAGGAAGATTTAAACTCCAGGGGTGGCTCTAGTTAGTCAAGGGTTAATCCATCCCTCTTATCAGTAATGGTGGCAAGAATGGACTATGACCCACTGTGTCATGAATCAGATTCAAGGAGGGCTGATGGAGATCTCTGGGAAAGTTCCCTTTCCCCTGGAATGCCTTCAGAAGCTCTTCCATTTCTCCCAACAACGTGAGTGAGAGCGAGAGCGGCCCCTCTGCGAGCATCATCTTACTACCATGAGGGGAGTCAGCCTTCGGGGAAGTGGGCACAGTAGGCAGGGGGTTATAAAGATGAAAAACTTGGGTGCCTGATGACATGGTAGAGCTACTGGTTAACCAAACTTAAAAACATGCCCTACTTTTGAGGCTCCTGTCTGTGAGCCAAACTTCCTTATTATACAAGAAACATAATTTTGAATTGGGTTTACTGTCAAAGCCAGAAACTGATACACATCCCTTTTCTTGGTAGTCATGGCTTTTAAACAGGTAATTAGTTCCCAATTATAGAAACAAAATGTCTATTACAGGGGAATGGATTTACTACTTCCAAGAACAGAACATGAGAGAGAAAATGCTATTTACAAGCACTGTAAATATCAAGGGAAAACAGCCATCAATATTGAATCATTTTTTAAATATTATTGTGGCCCATGTAATGCTTAAAGCGTATATTTAACTGAGCTTAAAGGTCCCCTTTTAGTTGATTTGTTTCATTTTAGACAAACATTTTGAAAAAAATACAAAATAAAGACAACATGATAGCTACCTTCATAAATTACATCAGGATAATTTGGGTTGGCACCTAAAAGGCAAAATAAAGCAAAGATTTGTAAGTATGCATTCAGAATTAATACTAAGTCTCCCCACTAAAGTGAGTTACATATATATTGAAGGTTTTATAGGTTTATAGTTTGTTTTACAGAACAGGAACATGAAACCTGAAATTCTTGGTTTGCTTCATGTGAACTGTTTCCCTCCCCAGTCCCTAAACCTCCACTCCTCCCAAAGAAAAGAAATGAATGAGGAGAAATTACAAATCACTTTATAGCTGGGAAAACTTCAGCAATCAATGCATTACGACTATTTCTAGTACACAGTTGGCCATTTTAACTGCAATCCTGGTACTTTTATTCCAGAGAGAGATTATCTCCATACCACTTTAAACAACAAAAGATAAAACCTCTGATGGCTTGGGTATTACTTTCAAAGTGGACTTTGGCAGGTCTACTTGCTTTCACAAACACATTATTAACCAGCCTGAATAATGATATCTAATGCCCAATTTTGCTCTCCACTTGGTGTTCAGAGGGGGGTTGCCAAGGTTGAATAAACGAACCCTTTCTTCTGCCTTAATACAACACAGAAAAATAAATGTACTTTATTGAAATGATTTATGTATAAGAGATTACACATAAATGTTATGTCAGAGACAAATGCAAAAGTATATCCACTTAATTGGGGGGGTGGGGAATGATTCTTTAGTCACCAAGATGATCAGAATACTCTGTTTTGAAATATTCTCATGAAAATTTGCAAAAACTTTTTTAATTTTTTTAAATCATCATCAACAAGAACTAGTGACAAAACCATCTGATACTCTCCAACCAGAACTAACCGGGTCTCTATATGAAAGCCTACTTGGAAATAAAATTAAAATTTGATATAACATTTGTGTGATTACAAAATAAATTTCCAAAGCTATTTCCTATGCTTTTAGCCTTCACTTACTTACTTGTAAACTGTAAAGCTTATTCAGCTCTCATTTCACTTCTAAACCCTTCAGCAGAAAAATATCATCTAAGATAAAGGGAAACTAGAGCCAATTTTCTGTTCATGTATTCCCTATCAAAAGTAGTCTACATGAAGAACCAAATAAAAATGGCCTTAATGTTCAAATCAGAATTTTAACACAGTTCAACTTATAGAATATCTATTTCAGCAGGGGAAACATTAAGTAGATGGTTAGGTACATCGATTCAGGGATGCTGCAAACTGCTGAGCATTCCATGCTAACTGGGGCGCCGTTTAGACTGTAGTCTATGTGAATGACACCACCTGAAATTGTGCAGTGCACAACCTGTGCTGCTATACGAAATGGCCCTGTGTCAATTCATGCAAAGTCACCGATTCTAGTATATTTCATAGTATTTTGAGTTTTATTATCCCAAACACCATTTTAAAGTAGTCTTGAGTTATAATATGCTAATACGTATTATCAGGATTATTTGTAGTGGATGTGATATTCTTGAGAAGGGCCTTGAAGGCTGTCTTGCAGTTTGAGGGATAATTCAGTGGATAAAGCAGCATGAAATCCCAGTGGCAGTCCTGGTGACGTCATATTCAGAGCACCCACCCACCTGCTGAAATCCTTTCCCTTTGCAAAGTCCCTGGACCAAGTGGGTGTCCCGTCATTGTGAGGATTTCCTACCTCTACTGAAGGAAAGGTTCTGTAAACCCAAGTGAGCAAGTCATTCTTTGAACTTCTCAGTAATCCATTACTTTACAAGATCCCACTCTGGTCCCCTCCTCACTGTGCCCTCAATATACAAGTCTGCATCTGCAAGGGTACCTTCCCACCAGAGTCCACACTCCACTTCTAGACCTCGCTCCAGGATCCAGGACCCAGGACTCACATTTCCTTCCCCACACCTCCCCCCAAACACACTTCCTAGGACTAGCTAGCCTTTTCCCTACATCTGTCAGCCCACAGGTGGCCACACCACTGGTATGAGTAAGCACCTTCTGAGCCAAGACACAAGGGACAGGGGAGCGTTGAGCAAGGGCAGGTGAGCTGGGGTGTCCACATGCCGGCTCACTGCCTCTCATGTACCTCTTGCCATATAGTTTCAGAGGCACAGGGCAGGGGGTATGGCCAGGAACCAGCTCTACCAAAACCACTACCTTCCAGCACGGAACTCCAAGAATCTGGGAGAATTAGATCCTCAAACCCAGCCTTTCTGGTCACTACACACATATCTATGCCAAGGTAGGAAGATAGAACCTATTTTATTTAGCAATTCATTAACTTGATTCATATTTTTTAAGTATTTGGATATAAGTATACAGACTTTGATTTGTACTAGGTTGGCTGCCTAAGACCCAGGGCATTTCTGAGACAGTGAACTTTAAGTTTTAAAACTGGGATAGTCCCAGGAAAATCCTTGCAGTTTGTCCAGGAATGAGGGCTTTCCCCAGACATAGGACTTTTAGTGTGAAAACTAGGACTAGTCAGTCACCCTGATTTGTCCTCAAGCCCTGAGGGACCCCACACACAGTCACCTCCTGCCTTTACACACGCAATCCCATAAAAAAGGAAAAAGGCTGAGGATTTAGAGCCAGATTTATCTAAACCACATACAGGAAGGGCTGCAGTGAATATGACCGATGTACAGGTGTAATCGACCTCGTCACAGAAAGGTAACACCTAAACGCATTACTCACGCAAGGCCCCTGGGAACAACATGAACGTCGAATCAGTTCAATGCAGCAAATGTCATGTAAAGAAAAAGGATTTGGGATGGGAATCAAAAGTAAATAGGTTAGCCCATAATCTGGAAAACTTGTCTTTTTCCAGACTTACAACTTCTGTCGGTGCATGCCTTTCCTACCAAGTTCACCAGCAAAACCACTAGGTCACATCTATACTTTCTGAAAAGTACTACATTTTCCTAACTTCATTTTCTCAAATGTATGCGAAGAATCATCACTTGACTTCCATGGTTTGAAAGACTCAAATTTAGTGCGAGGTTATGAAACTCACAGAAAGACAATGTGGGAAGAACAATAAGGTGCTTTTTATTTGCCCCTCCCGACCATACAATACTATGTCTGAGGAGGGCCGACTCAACTGCAATAAAGAAACGCCTCATGGGAGGACACACAGACCTAGAGTTTATGACAAACAAGGGTCACAGTACTCCAGCTAAGCCAGCTCATCAAACACAGTATTTTGCTTCTAGCAACTTCTCGGTCAAGCTAACCTCCCGTGGTGTTTATATTCCAACAGTAAGGTAGTTATTAACATCATGTTAAATGCAGACAGGAGACAAAGTCACCCCTTCCTTTTCAGACCTCTGGCAATGGTCATATTGTGAAAATATCCTGTGATTCTTAAGTCTAATTTCTAACTGGTTCCTTTCACTTAGTTTAAATATGTTCATTACAATATCATTACTTGCTACAGGTAGAATCCCCTGTTTGAGATATTCAGGACGAAAAGGTGGGCGAGGAGAGACAAACACTGACTATGAGGGAAAAGCCAACAAAAAGAGAATGAATGAAAGATAAAGGAGCGATGCGCTTGTAAGGGGGATGTGAGCAGAGCTGTGCTTTCTTGAATACCATCCCAGTAGCTCACCAAGGAGGAAATCTCAGATTTAGGCAGCAGGAGGTGGTATCAAACCCTAAAGCTTCATGTTGAAAACCACCGGAATAAAATATGGAAATTTCTGGAAGAAAATCTGAAAACCCAGGAACTCCGTCAACCCCACTCCATTCCAAACAAGCAGCACCCAACCCCCCAAGCTCGCTCCAGTCCAGAAGCAGCAGCTCCTCCCCAACCCAAGGAAGGTGCCTGCCAAGCACAAATTGTTGCTTGTCTCATGTTCCAACTCTGTTTTCTGAAGAGTGCGTCGAGCGTTGGCAGGTGCTACACGCACTTGTGCTCTGTTCTGAACTTCGGGCATGTTGTCAGGAATTTGGGGACCAGGACTAACAGGTGCAGAACACAGCCGGACACGCTCCCCGTGGAAACAGCGCACACCGTACATGGCCACCCACGTGCTCCTGACAAGGCTCCGGATTGCTCACGGGACGTCTGCACCTCCAAAAGACAGACCTTCGGGCATTCAGGTTGCTAAACGTCGATCATAAAGTCCTTTCTCCCCAACATATCAGACCAAAGCACTTCACTGTCCTCTGATCTCCATGCTAAATGCCTTTAAAGGGACGACTCTAGCTTCCCTATTCTAAGCTGTTACAGCTCATGAGTAAATCTTCGGACTCTGCCCAGGCTTCATGAGTAAAACTCCATGACGTTTTAACTGTAAGACTCTACAGTTAAGGGATAAAGAAAACCTGTGGGAAGGTGGGAGGGTTCCCTTTCCATCCTGCTGCATGGATAAAAATGATGGTGAAGGCCAGAAGACACATCTGCTTCTTTCCTTTCAGCTTTTAGTCTCTCTCTAATGCCCTAAAAAAAAAAAAAAAAAAGACTTCTCTCTCAATTCTATTTCCAGACTCTGTTTAGTGTGATCGTGAAAAATATTTCAAAGAATCCCATTTGATAAAGAAACCGCAAAAGAGGGCGCCTGGGTGGCTAAGTTGGTTAAGCGACTGCCTTCGGCTCAGGTCATGATCCTGGAGTACCGGGATCGAGTCCCACATCGGGCTCCCTGCTTGGAGGGGAGTCTGCTTCTCCCTCTGACCCTCTTCCCTCTCGTGCTCTCTATCTCTCATTCTCTCTCTCTCTCTCTCAAATAAATAAATAAAATCTTAAAAAAAAAAAAAAAAGAAACCGCAAAAGATCCATTCTTTTCAAATCAATTGTCCTTGGTTTGTCAACACTGTTGCCTAACTCATAGCAGTCCCTCCTTCTGATTTCCAGATCCTTCTCTTCCTTTTCTAAATGGCAGGCTGAGCTCAGGGCCCCAAAACACTGGGGGGGTCAGATGTCTGGGTTTCATTTTTGGCTGAACCACTAACATGCTATGCAGCATGGGGGGTGGGGGGCGCTCTTCACTTTTCCTGTGACAAAGGAACGTTCCATACCTCAGGAGAGGACAACAGCATTGGCTCTGGCAA